CTATTTATTTTATATATACCCACTAGCCTCTTGTTGATAAAATTCTATACAGAAAAGTAACATGTAAAATACTCATTAAAAATTTTAATCAATCAGTATTAAAATACTGTTCTTTCAGTCTTGGAAGTAGACTTTGTCTTTTGATAACTTAGTACAGCTGGCTAATACAGAAAAACTCAGAAAGGAATGTTAGCCGAACACATTCCAGTGCACTATCTGAACCAACATGCCACCATCTTTATTGTTTGTATCTAGTCGACTCCTCTTTCTAAATTTTCAGCAGCTTGGTAGAAGTTCCAAATATTCCAAATGTTATGGAATCTGTGGGAGTATTTAAAGTTAGGAAATCACTAATGTTGAAATAGAAGGTAAAACCTTCTAGCAATGATCTCACTTGCCCGGGAATGAAACCCATCCTGCTCAGTGGAATTTGCCCACAAATGCTGTATCTCAAATTTATCAGGCATCTGACACTGGGGATTCTGAGGGTAACAAGCCCCACTTCCCTTTACTGAAGCATATACTACTCTTTTCTTTTTTACCTTTAAGAACCCTCTCCCGGGAGCTGGCAAAATGATTATCTTTCCCTGACAACTTTCTTCAAAATTTATGAATGTATTTATACTTGTCTTTGACATGAAAGATATGAGTGGACACTCCTTAGGTGATGCGGCTAATAGAAAATGAATACCTCAAAGCTTTGGCTAGACTGAAACACTAGACTATATTTTCCTTATCTCCCTTTTGATGACCAAGCATTCAGAATCAACTGGGCTTTGTAGAAATAAAAGGATAGACAATAATCTGGATTGATTTCATTAGTATGCTGGCATTATAGAAAAATTAAAGGCTATCTCACTGATCTTTTGTGTGTAGTGCTGAAATTTTTCAGATTCAGAACTGGCACCATATACATTCACAGCCACTACTTGTTTAATGGCAGCAGACACTGCCAAACATCACCTGGAGGGCAAACTTGTCCCCAGTTGAGAGCTACACCTGTTCATAGACTGTTTATCCTGGGAGATTTTACCCTAAAGATCGATCCCTGGGTCAAATAAGATGTGCAACATTAAAACAAAACAAACAAAGAACAAGAAAAACAAATAGCAACAATGACAGTGATATTAGTAAACTTTTAATAATCTAACAACATGTGGCAAACTGTTGTGCTCTTATCCAGTCCTCATAAAAGACTTGGAAGTTGCCATTTTAAGACACTTTCATTTTCAGTTGAGAACATTGAGCCCCAGGGAAATTAAGCACTTAACTGACCAGCATCATACAATTGGAAAGCTGCACAGCCTCGGTTTGTTTCCATCTCCAGAGCCTAAGCAATTAACTAGACAGTTCTACCCCTTTGGGATTCTGGTTTTTAAATTCTTAATTTGCCATAGTTATTAGCATTTACATTTTCTCACTAACCAGAAAAAAATTGACCTTTTGTCTTAATCAGTTACTGATAATCTTTTAATTATTCGATGTTCCTTATAAGCATCTACATAGGCAAGCAAAGAAGTAGCTTTCCCTGGGAAAAGCTAATCAACATGAGACCCAGGAAATTCAGAAGTCCCAGAAGTGAAAAGAGAGCAATGTAACTTGCATGCAGGAGGGGATTTAGCAAAGGAGTGAAATCTTGAACCAGGCCTTTAACCGTCCTGTTAAAGTGCAGCAAATAAAGGCCTGCCTGGTAGAGAGGAATCTTAAGTAGAGTTATAAGGATGTTCAAAGATCTTGGCAAGTTGAAGGACTTGCTATGCTTGGAGAATTGCAGGAGCCAAGAACACAAGAGGGGCTAAAAATGAAGAAACAATTTTTAAAAAAAAAAAAAGGTTGGGTTCTGCACAGTGATCTTTGGCCTGTCTTTGTTACTGGAGGTCAGTAGACCAGCCAAAATCACATTAGACACACAGTCAGGTGGGTACTTGACCAGGCAGCTGAAGTGAAAGATGTTTGATGGTGGTGAGACTATGAACATGAGCAAGGGGCATTCAACAAGAGATGAGATGGACAGGAGGGTCAGGTGGGAGAATTGATTAGCAAGAAAAGAAAGGCAGGCAGTGTGGAGGAACCCCTCTTAATGAGCTATGAGAACAAATAGATAGAACATGTTTGTGGAAGAACTATCAAGGAAGCAAAATAATGCACTTTCAGGAATAATATGGAAATATATTTGGCAACCATTTCAGTAACCTGAAGAATGTGGAGTTAATACTTCTGGGTCTTCCTACTTCTTCCAGATCTCCAGCAGAAACAGAACACTTGAATTAGTTAGGCAAGGTTCAGAGCTACAAGACAAGTTTTAAGTTGCATTTCTACCTCTCTAAGCTGCACCATTGCAACAATTTATTTCTGAGAACATCAGCTGGTTAATCTGAGTCAGCATTGATGGAGACTCAACCAAGTGTGTTTGAAAAATGAGGAGCCAGCTACACATGTTGAGATACTAGTCTCAGGTCTTAGTACATGGTTGTTGAACAGTTATTAATCAGATTTCTGGTTCTTTTAAATAACCTTTGACTCATGCATTTAACATAAGAATCATTAAAAGGAAGAAATGCTCTTTTAGACTTTTAGTAGCAGGGTTTTTTTTTTTTTCTATTCCATTCTTTCAGAAAATAGTTAATGGTTCGTTCTTCTCTCCAAAATAAAATTCTAGAGTATAATGCCAAATGGAGTTTTTACAGTTTGCATTATGTGATAGATTTCCTAACTTCATTATTTAAATTCAAAATAAGCATACAGCATACAGTCCAACATTTTTAACCTTTTTTTGGCCAAATATCTTCTTCAAACTATGCTGTTAAGAGTCACTTACCATTCTTCAGTGTCTGTAAGATGAAGCAGTTTTTTCAATCCAATTGAAAAGTGGGGTACAGAACTAAATAGACAATTCTCAATAGAGAAATCTAAAATGGCTGAAAGACACATAAGAAAGTGTTCAACATCCTTAGCCATCAGGGAAATGCAAATCAAAACAACTCTGAGATACCATCTTACTCTTGTCAGAAGGGCTAAAATCAAAAACACCAATGACAGTTTATGCTGGAGAGGATGTGGAGAAAGGGGAACACTTCTCCACTACTGGTGGGAGTGCCAACTTGTACAGCCACTTTGGGAATCAGTATGGCGACTCCTCAAGAAAATGGGAATGAGTCTACCACAAGATCCAGCAATTCCACTCCTAGGCATATACCCAAAAGAAGTGCATTCATACAACAAAGACATCTGTTCAATGATGTTCACAGCAGCACTATTTGTAATAGCCAGAAACTGGAAGCAGCCTAGATGCCCCACAATTGAAGAATGGATAGAGAAATTGTGGTACATTTACACAATGGAGTACTACTCAGCAGAAAAAAACAATGGGACCCTGAAATTTGCAGGAAAATGGATGGAACTAGAAGAAACCATTCTGAGCAAGGTAACCCAATTACAAAAAAACAAAACAAAACAAAAAAACATGATATGTGCTCACTCATATGTGGATTTTAGACACAGAGTAAGGGATTACCAGCCTACAATCCACACTGCCAGAGAAACTAGTAAACAAGGAGGACCCTAAAAGAGACAAACTTTGTCCCCTGGAGAAGGGGAAAGGATCACCAACCCCTGAGCAAATTGGGAACATGGGAAGAGGGGGAAGGCAGCTATGAGAATGAGAAGGGAAGAAAAGGAAGAATGCAGAGGTCATGAGGGAGCAGAAAGGTTGAGTCAGGTGTAGATTAGAAGAAAGGATATGTGATAGGTAGGGTTTTAGTTGGGGAGTGGTAGGGGAGGAAGGGAGGGAGAAAGGAACTGGGATTGTCATGTAATTCAATCTTGTTTGTAATTCAAATTAAAAAAAGAAACAAGCTCTCAAATCTGAAAATAAATTTATATCTTATTTCAAAAGAAAAGATGAAGCAGGTTTTTTTTTTAATCACTGATATAAAGATTTTATGGTCTCTTCACTAGACTTGTAGATGGAAAAGAGTTTTTATTTACTCTGCTCCAACAATTTCTTCTGTCGGTGTGTCTAAATAGTTGTGTTATCTGCTGTTTAAGGAGTGCCGTTAGGAGCCAGATCCCTTGAAACCTAGTTACTAAATATTCCATACCCACTTTCCAGATTGGCAAAAAGACAGAAAGTGCTGTGACACACAGCTTCATGGTTCCTCAACTGTATTACGATGTGCAGTGTTAAATCTCCTGCCTGCCTCCAACAGCCTCCTGACTCCAGGCTTACCTCATCCTTTCTGTTTCACCTCAATTTTATCATGAATCGAGTACCAGTGTATCATGAAAGTGTAATCATTACATACCTCTTACCTTATACTTTCTCTAGAATACCATTATCTCTGTGCTTAATGGACTAATTGGGTATCCTGTCTGCTTACTACAGCGATTAGCCTTGAACATTTAAAATTATAAATGTGTATAATTAATAACAACACACCCCCTATCATGTTGGAATTCAAGCCAAAGTAAAAATACCATAATCTAAGCTTGGTGGAGTATCAATTTAGAAAGTTATTTATAAAGTTTTGCCAAATTTGAGTAGTAACTATCTGTGTAACTTAATAACTTATTTTTTATAGCTAGACATACATACATACATACATGCAAAAATATTAAAAAATATTGATAGAGTTTTATAAAATCAGAAATAAAAGGGCTGTTGTTCATAAATATGGACAGACAGATTAAAAGCTTCTGAATAAATGCAATTGCCTTCCCTGGTCCAATACCCCCACCACACACACACACACACACACACACACACAAACACACACACACACACACACACAGAGAGAGAGAGAGAGAGAGAGAGAGAGAGAGAGAGAGAGAGAGAGAAATAGGAAGTATATTTGATCCAAATTATCAAGATAATTGATTCAGTTTACTGTGATAGAGAACATCCACTGTCCTACAGTGAAAATTTCTTGTCCTATCTGTAATGAAAGAATTGATGTTCTTCACATGTCCTTACACATTCTTTTCTCACGTGACTATTTTAGGTGTACCAATACATGCATGAAACGATCACTGTTAATGGCTGCCCCGAGTTCCGAGCAAGGGCCACAGCAAAGGTAAGACTTGAGCAACTTTGAAAGTATACTTGACCCCAGTGATGTAGTAATTGATTGTGCGCGTGTGTGTTTCAGGTATTCTCGTGTGTACACTGTAAGAGAATTTAGACCTCAGTGGCAGCCCAGAGTCTAGAACCAGTACTACTTACCAGGTAAAAAATCCTAATGGAAAAATTGACCTTTTCTGCTGCTTCTGTAGCTTAAGGAAGGAGAATGATTTCATTAAACTCACTAAATGTCCATTTGGCACAAGCAAATCTGCTGCTTCACTGTATCAAGTTCTACATGGTTTCTGGTCCATCCTGCGGATGCAAAAGAACCTGTATCCTATGTAGAGCATGAAAACACATCCGCACAAACTGAAAACCCTGATGTAGGTTAGACATGAAAGGTTTCACCAGGTACCACTGATGCAGAGCTCTTCTTTGTATTCAGCTGGGCAATGGGTAATTTGCTGCAAGTGACATTGACCTTACTGAAGGCCTGGCACCTTGTTCTTTCAAGGATCAAACCCAAAGATCACAGAGGTCCCATTGAAAAGGATGCAGAAAGAGGATCATGACTTTTTCTGGAAGATGGATCATTAGAAAACAGTAGTGGCAATCTGAAGTCGCTCCTGCAGCTCTGCAGCTCCTGTTTTATGAATACAGTGCTTTAACAGAACACAATTTCCTTGGTAAAGGGCTTGTAACTTCCTAATAATACTAAGAAGTGAGAACCACTGAGAATATTCAGAATCTCTCATTCAACTCCTTTGTGTTACATCACCTGTTCTTTGATTTCTCCCCTGATATTTTCAGTTCTCATTCTGTAACTAAATATTGTGGATTTTTTAGTTTATTTTTTCCTCCCTAACCCCAGCAAACAGAGGGTATGATTACCATTACATCATGCTTTGCTTGTTCTGAAGTGGAACACACACAGAAAAATGATCCCTACATGGCTTAATTAAGGGGAAAGTGAATTGTGTAGTGTTTTACCATTCTCATTTCTTATTCATGTAGAACAGCAGGATAGCAGCATAATGTTGCAATAGCACAATATTTTCTGGTTGTTTCTGGGCTGTCTGCATTGCATCCATGTCAGCCATTAAAACCTTTGCATGACAACAGGGTTTGCATGAGCAAATGCATGTAGCTAAAACCAAGCCATTATTTCCATATCGTTCACTATCTTTCATTAAATGCAGGCAGTAGCATAATGCTAAATTGATGTGATAATGTGGTGTGTGGCAAAAAGAATGTACAGTAGTTGGAAATCAATATTTTCACAGTGTTGAGAGTAAATCACTTTATGCTGGGCATCTAATCAACTGTGGTTAAGGAAAGCTAATGGAAATGGAATACAAGAAGCAGGCAGAGAATCTTTTCTTGATTGAAACTACTATTTTATTCCTATTGGGTGGGAACTAATGGTAAGTTGATTTCCAGAATTTAAAGAAACCAATATGCTAATTATAAAATAGGACTATGACCATATTAATAACATTTTGTATACCTAGGTAAAAAGCCCCAAGCTGTTTGTTCAGTTTGCTTGTGTCATTATACTAGCTGAAATGTTAGTGTAGAATTAGAGAGATATAATCAACTACCTATTAAGACACTATTAAGTTCACAGTAATATGGAATATTGGTAGAATAATAATATCTTTTGACCTAGTGCCTCATTTTAATTTTTATTTTCTTTTAAACATTCTGAATTTTAAAATAAAAACCTTTACATTTACTAAACGGTGGTTCAGCAATAGCGGGATTACATGCAGTTTCATAAACATATACATTCAAAAGTGCTCACCAGTTTGTTGAGTAAGTATTTATGCACATGTATGTCCAGGCAACAGCATAGACTGTGTGCGATAGCAAAAGCATGGTACAGTATGGTCATGAAATGCCTGCGGTCAACATGCATTCAACAATTATATCAGGTAGTACACGTAACAAATCTATTTGGATCCTTCATCAGGATTTACATGTAGCTGACAAACTCTCAAAGATTTTATAATGATTTTGCTTTCAGTTTTTACTTTTCATAGTAGATAAGCCTTACAAAGGTGGATATAACTAGCTGAGGATTTACCAAAAGAAAAACTCATATACAGCATCTGAAAGAAGACCTTCTGTGTTCTTCCTTCTACGGGAGAATGCTAGAGAGATGTCTAAGAAGTTGTTCCCTGTAGATCATATACTTAGCCTTATTTCCCTTGTTTTATTACCAAAAGACCATCTTTTCTTTCAGGCAACAGTTGCAGCTTTTGCAGCCAGTGAAGGTCACTCTCACCCTCGGGTAGTTGAGCTGCCAAAGACTGATGAAGGCCTGGGTTTTAACGTGATGGGAGGAAAGGAACAAAATTCCCCAATTTATATCTCCCGCATCATCCCCGGAGGGGTAGCTGAAAGACATGGAGGCCTGAAGAGAGGAGATCAGCTGCTCTCAGTGAACGGAGTGGTATGTTGGTAAAATATGGAATTTTTTCTCCCTACGTACATTCCTCCCTATACCCCCATTACTGAAGCCAGTTTTGAAATTCTAGTGCAGACAGTAATTTTATATCCATATCCAACCAGCTTACAGGGATTGGATGAGTAAAAATCTATAAGGCAGTGATTTTACATTTTATGCCTCATTTCATCTTGCACACATATGATAAATATCAAGTTAGCAGAAAATTACGCCAAGAAATTATCACATAGAATTTCCCCTCTCAAAATACTGCTATTAAATTAGTCTTCAGAAGAATATAATTTCAATGCTGTTTTCTTCCTAAATTCCTATAAGCATTTGGGTTTGAGGTTTTGTTTTGCTTTAGTTAGTTTGTTCATTTGCTTCAGTGCTAGGCATTGTACTCACAGCCATGTGCATGCTAGGCAAGTATTGCACCCCCAAGCAACAACCCCACCCCCAAAAATAGCTTCCTGTGAAACAAATAAGATTTTCTCCTCATCTTCCATTTGTATGAAACATAACCAATCTAAGATCAAAAATTCCAGAAATATAAACAGGTATTTGTCAAAATAGAATTTCCCCTTGACCTAAAAACATTTACTGTAAGAACTTAAGATTTAATATATAAGCTATATTTCAGTTCTGGGTAGCTACATTGATTTATGCTCAAAACACAATATCTAGCATATCATATTTGAAATGAGATATTCTATTGGTAAATGTGGTATAATTTTTCTCTTTATATCTTTAATCTTGTTTGCATTTGTTTATATTCAAAAATAAAAACGTATTTCATACTACAAAAATAGTTGTTTTGTATTAGCAAAAGCTATTCACTGAATTCTGCTGTTCTTTAATGAAAATCAAAACTAGCAGTCCATGAATATTTTGTATCATCATTCCAATTCCCAAATTACCATTCCCTCAACTTTCTCTAGGCAACAGTGCTTTGAGATAAGTGTCTTATTGACCTTTCAGTAGCTATCAATTTTCAAAGCTTGTATCCAATGATAATTGTAGAGCCCAGCTTTCTGATAGAGAATTCCAAGCAGGGTCAAACATTATGATGCACAGTAAGCTATGCCTCCGGTTATTAATTTATCATTTCTCTGAGTGTACTTTGTAGAACTAAAGAATTTTTAGGTTTGAAAATAGGAAGAATGGTAGCAAAAAATTCACTCAAATGTGTGCATAGCCATTGTAGCTGTACAAAGCAACCATAGCCACCTCTGATATCAATCATCAGTCTCATCAGTAAATTGACTTTGAACTGTCTATCAAGGGAGCAAACAGCCTGTGTTTAACCTACATATTTGCAAGAACCACAGCTCCCAGCATTTCACAATCAGGCATCTATTCCTGCTGTGACCTTGTGATGAACCTGGGAAACAGCAGGGAGAATGGCAACAATAAAATCAAACAGACCTAGTTTTACCATATTGTTACAGACTAATTGTGTCTGTTCCCAACTTTGCTATCTAAAAGGCAAGCAGGCAGAGTGGTTACTAATTATAAGAACACTGGTGAAAATTAGTGAGGCCGCATGTCTACCAAAAACAATCCTGTCTGATCATTTGGTCATACACACCTTTGATAAGTAATGGTGACCACTAAAAAAAGTTGAATGAAATGAGTGAGATTTTAAAGGACCAGGAATATTGCTTTTATTAATGTGGCAAAAAGTGAACCTTAAAGAAAATCCTGCTGTACATAAAGCTGTATGCAAATTAACACACATTTATTAATAAGAAGTTTGCCATCCCCTCTCTTCAATGAAGCTGGCGAGGACCCACTTCTCTGTCTATTCAGGTGTTCAAGCCATAGACTTGGAAGAAAGACCCACTTGAGTCAGGTAAGAATATTCCAGGGTCAAAAATCTTTAGCCTTATATTCAGCGTCAGAGAACCATAAATTCTATTAAGCATACAGTTTAATTTTTATCCTATGTTCATAATCTTATTAGCCCCTTGTACAGGATTCTTACATCCCATTTATGTTTCCAACAACTCTAGAGTTCACATTTACTTAAAAACTGCAATTTACTAATAGTTTCCATTTATTTGACCATATCATGTTAGTGAATAAGGCACCAATTTCAACAAAAGACAATTTGTGACATAGTTTGTTAAAGAGAAAAAAAAAATCATTTGTTCACTGCAGCCAGTCTAACAAATGCTCGCCCTTGTCTTGGCTAGAGCATTGCTTCAGCCTAGCCTGGTTTATCGAGCTCCAAGGGTCACATCTTAAATTATCACACCTGAATACAACACAAGGTAACAATTACCTATATTAGTGTGTTTAAGAGTAAATTATATATACACCTATCTATGGAACATCAATTAATGAAAACAAAAAGGGCCGTGATTTGAAAGATAGCCAGGACAGGTATTGGGAGGATTCAGGAGAGAAGAAATGGTCAGTTTCATAAAAGAAAGGAAATATTTTTTTAAGTAAATCAGAAAGAAAGCTATGTCCATTTACAGGTACTCATCTCAAGGAATTTTTCTATAATGAGAAACTACATGGTTCACTGCCCTGCTTCTAGTCACAGAAATAGTTAATGCAGCCCCAGGACCCTGGGCCTTTAGCTCTGGGTTGGGAGGTCTTTCCAGTAGAAATAATTTCACGCAGGTCACAGTTGTTAGTGAAAATAAAATATTTTACAGTAAAATGAGACTGGAGGCCCTGCAATTGAAAGACCAAAACAAGCCAAAGAGAAGGTTGCAAATGATCAAGTGATTGCTGTCTGCTGTGAAACACGGCACCATTACGGAAGCTACATATGGAAGATTTTCAGAACATGGGCTTCTAAGCTGTGAGTTTTAGAGAGAAGGGATTTGTAAGGCTGAGGCAAAGCGGACCTTTGTAGGTAAGCATGCTGAGAACAAGTCCCTGATGGGCTAATTAAATGTTACATTATCCTGTGGACCCAAGAATCCTAAATGATGTTTCTAATGCCATATTTTTTTGTTATTTTTATACCTTGGTTACATTTAGGAAGATTATGCCATGATATCTGCCAAAATTTATCATGTATTAACATAGGGATGATAACATGAAATGCCAGATAATAAAGGGAGAGAGGAGGGAGATCAATGAATAGAAATAAAGAAACGATATAGCAATTGAGCAATTGATTTTTATTTTCATCTTATAAGTCAAAACAGAAGGAAACTCATAACAGCTCAACACTCACTGAAGGATCTTTTTTTTTTATCATTTCTGGCTAGAAAAGAAATTTCCCATGGGGTTTTTTATAAATGAGACACTGAATCACCTAATATAGCTTCATTGAAAATACAGAGTCCTTTTGCGTGTGGCTACTTCTTGTGTCAAGCCTTAGCAGAACTAATAGCTGAATTAAAATTTGACATTAATAGGGGGTCAAAAAGTTACAGTTAGAATCTATAGCTCTCTAATGGCCTCCTTTTCACCCTTTTATCTGCAAGTGTTTTCTCAAGGACTGTTTCTAAATGTTGCAGCTAGGATACACCCAACAGGGACAGCAAATATATTTAGTGATAGAGCCAAAATATAAGAAAATCTCATATATGGCACAACAGGCTTCACTTAAGAAGTCTCTTCATAAAGTCTGGCCCTGATGCCAGAGACAGTGTATATAGGGAATCAGGGTGACATGGTTAAATAGCAAGGCTTGAAAAGTATACTCAGGGGATAGTAAATGAGTTTGAAAGCAATATAAAGTGAATTGTGGCGAAAGGTAAAAGAGAAAAACAAAACTGTGTTAATGTGTTTGTAGGATTACTGATTCAAATATCTTTGACAAAGATCTTGGTGCAGCCCTTGAGTGTGCTGTATGGTAGTCAGTCGGTATAGTACTGGAGTCTGATCTAGTGAAGTCAACCATAACTTAGCCATGTTTCCCTGAAGTATGCATTATTAAAGGGCATAAGCCATTTGGCCAGAAAAGAGAATGTTTAGGAGAATGATGACATCTCCAGGTGACCTCTGTTGTACCAATGTACCAAATGACATTACCAATGCAAGCAAGACAAATGCATGAAGCTTGTAGGGAAAACAGAGTCCTGTTTACATATGTCTGTAAAACTATCCACATATAAAGGGTGCATGCTCAGTATCTGAAGTTTTCATCAGAGATTAGAAGGCTATCTACCCATTCAGTATTTCAAAATATGGGTAATGTGTACATAGCTGCATCAGGCTCAAAGGTCCCTGCCATCTCTGTGACTCGGATTTTATAGCTTAGATGAAACTTTTGTTGATTCCACATAACACCTTATATTCTAAACCTATTGTCTATGGATCCTATTCTTGAGATGTTGTCCTTAAATGAGAGAATTAAAACTTTGTGACACTGTACTTCATTATGTCTAGTATCTTATAGATTTTAAGCATGTTTATGTATTCTTTTCGCATTGGTAGCTCAAAATGGTCTTACAAAATGGGAAGGACATTCTGTACTACACACACACACATACACACACTTGCTCACCAGTCATCACACTTAGATAAACTCACACACACACATTAAATGCATGAAATGAATTTCAATCTTTAATGTGGTGTTGATTGATTACCAAGTATAAAAAGTAATTGTTCAAAAATCAATCCCAGTTGAATTGGAATGAACTCTGTAACTACATGAATTCCAGTTTCCTGGGGTTTTTGTTGTTTTATAGTCCCATAAGATGTTAATATGGAGCAAAGCTGGATGAAAGGTATAGGAGAGGTCCCTTGGATTCATTTCCTCATTATTTTATAACGCTATAATCAATTTGCAACATTTTTAAAAAGGGAAACTCTAAACAGTCACCCCCAAACACAATAGCCTACCAGTACTATTGGAACAAGAGGAAGGTAGCAAATATAGCAAAGGACAGAAAGAAAGGTACAACAGAGGCATGAGAACTTTAATCATGTGCCCCATTGAGAAGAGGCCTGGCTAGCTTGGGAAATCCAGAGGTTGCTTCTGAGCCCCCCTGGCAGAACAATTGAAATTATATTTACTTCTCTGTAGTTAA